GCTCTGTTGTCTCACCTCTATTTTTCCATCCAAATTTCAGCTTCTGAATGTTTGGATTTTGAGGGAATATTTGGAGCTTGAAATGCAAATCAATGATCCTCGAGAGAATTTCAAGTTTGCTCTTGAGCGTATAATTGATGATTTTATATTTATGTGCTTTATGGCTGGAAATGATTTTCTGCCCCACATGCCAACTTTGGAAATTCATGAGGTTCTACTAAACTTCATTGGTATGTAGTGATGGGAATACAATATGAAGCTCGAAACTAATTTTTTATGATAACTACTTATTTCCAGTGTGCAGTTGACTTGCTGATGACTGTCTATAAGAAGGAATTCAAAAATCTCGGTGGTTATATGGTTGATATGCTCCGGGTATAACGTGATTAGCTTTGTTTCAGTTACATTTCTTCACCCTGAAAAAAAAATGTAGATAAGATCATGACCATGCCGCTTCTTTTGTGCTCAAAAGCAGGTCAATGACAAGAAATCAGGATACATCAAACTATCCAGGGTTGAGAAATTTATTCTTCTTGTTGGTGCTTATGAAGATAAAATTTTCAAGAAAAGATCAGAACTACGTGAGCGTAAACTCAGACGTCTTTTCCTTAATAAAGATTTTGTAAGTGCTTGTTGCTCAAGTATCATTCATCATTGACAATATTGCTTGTATTTGTCTATTTTTCCCATTATGAAACAAATGCTGAATTAATTGGTTGCCAGCTAGAGGATGAAATTGATGCTGGAAGTTCAACTACTGATTCAAGCAGTACTTGTGCATTGCCTAATGGAGAAGAATCCGAAGCTCTGTCACTTGGGACGTTTGAAAATTTACATTCTCAAGTACGCTGTTTTTTTTTTGTGTGTGTGTTTTCTTTTGTACCTGCGGGTTATTTTGCTTGATTACATACATATACATGGAATAAAGCAGTTTTACTATCTACTTTGTGACCTGCTGAAGTGTTTTTGGTATCATTTATATTGCATTTTTGCAGATAATAGGAAATACAAAGGAGTTTAAGCAGAAACTGAAAGATAGCATCAGAAGGAAATCTGATCTGTTTAAGAATGGTGATTTAGGGACGGACAAAGTATGAAGCATCCCCTTCTGAAACGTTTACATCCAAGCATATAAACAAATATTTTTACATGCTTTGCTGATTTCTTCCACAGGTAGGATATGCTGCTGCAGGCTGCAGGCTACAAGGAAAGATATTACAAATACAAATTTTCTGCTGAAGGGCCAGGGGATATTGAAAGCAAAAGAAAGCAAGTAGTATGTGTGGCTTTCATAAATTTTATCTTATACTTCTGTAGTCCCCAAGATGTTTTCTTTTTTGTTTCTTACAGAAGCTGCACTTTTTTCTTTGTAAAATGGAGGGCCAAAGGCCGCACCAAAACTATCCATCTTACTGAGTTTTGATAAATTGTTTGGTTGATTGTTTGCAAAACCAACACAAAATTAGATGCGATCTTGTGTTATTCCAATAGGGTTTTTTGGTAATACATTTTCTACTTGTGTATTTAACAGATATTTTATTTATTTAATTTTAGATTTCCCCTTATTTGCAAATTCCAATTGCTGACTTACTTTAGGTTAAATACTACACTGAAGGACTGCTCTGGGTTCTCTTGTATTATTTTTCTGGTCCCCCATCATGGACATGGTAAGACATATGTAATATGGACTTCAGTTATTTACTTGATATTGGTATGAAAAGTAGTGTTACATTACATTCACTGTAATATCCTATCAGGTTTTATCCTTTCCATTATTCGCCATTTGCTTCCGACCTAAAGGGCCTTGGTCAAGTGAAACCTAAGTTTGAAAAAGGTTCCCCATTCTTACCTATCGATACTCTCATGGCTGTGTTACCACCCAGAAGGTAACTATGTTTCTTTGTTTTGTAAGTTTGGTCTTACCAAGTTCTCCAAGAAAATAATACAAATGTTCTCCTTTGTAGTGCTCATGCACTTCCGAAAGTTTATCAGACACTTATGACAGATGAGAGTTCTACCATTATTGACTTTTACCCTTCTGGTAAGTACACTTTTGTAATATCAGTTATGTTAGTCCATGGGATCTGATAGAAATTAATTGCAAGCTATGTTTCATCTGTAGATTTTGAAATTGACATGGATGGGAAACGCTTTACATGGCAGGTTTGTCTTCTCTTCTTCCCTTATATGACCATTTTCTGAGATTCAACTAGTGATTGTTTTCTCTTTTACCTTTTAAAATTGTTTTTGACTTTATCATCTCCAAAAGGGCATTTGCAAACTTCCTTTTATAGAAGAAGAACGGCATCTATCTGAAACGAGAAAGTTAGAGAAGGAGTTGGTGGTATGAAACTTTTTTATATATTTTAATTTCTTAAAGATATGAGATACTTTTCCATTCTTATATATAAAATGTCTTATCAGTTTGTGTTACAATATGTGTAGGGGGAAGGCAGAGACAGGAATAAAGAAAAAGTTGATCAATTATTTGTTCTAAGCACACACAATATGGCATCACAGATTGTCCCACTGTTTACAAAGGAAAACTGCCCCATCAAGATTGACAACAGTTTGTGGTAGGTCAATTATCTTTCTAAAGTCTTGTCTTTGTTACTTTGCCTTTTTCTTTGTTCTTTCATGGACCTCTTTTGCAGTATTTTCCAAATGTTAATGTTTATTGATAAGTTCTCTGCCCCTTTTCAGTTCTGGAATTAGTGGTTTTTTACGTCTTCATGAGAATGCTTCCAGTGTTAAAAGAGGATATCATAAACTTCAAGAACACTCTGTCTTGTGAGTAACCAAACTAACGAGTCGTTAATTTTGATCTTGTAAATGTTTTGCTGTCCTGAAGGATAAGTTTTATGAATTTGATTATGTTACAGATGTGTGCGATATGAGCTTCCAAACGATTGTCCACATGTGCCTCGTTTCCTTGCTGGTGTAGAGTTTCCTGTCAAGGTATCCGAACTTTCAGAATTTGCAATTATTTTCATGAGCTTGAATGGTCTCGTGCATATATGTTTCTTTTCGTATCTGTTTAATGTGATGGATTACCTGCTCTGCCACTGCGGATATGATTAGTTCCTTGCTATATAGCACTGGCTTAATGAGTTTTTGGTATTCTAACTAACTACATTGTTGGGATGCATTTTCGAGTTCAATAGTTAAATGTCCTCACTACCTAATATACTGTCCTTAAACTAGCATAAGAGAAATTCAGTGGCATGTTATAATTAAGCCCAATTTGTAACATTTTCCATCTACATTTGCAGACCATCACTGAAGACGATCTTATGGAGACAAAACTATGGCACGAATATCAGGGAAGCACACGCAGCACCAGGTTCTTTGGCTTCTTGCTCTGTCTTCCATTTGTTATTCACATCTATATCTACGAATTTCTCTTTGAACTCATTGTTCAATAACGAAATGCAATGCAGCAGTCAGCTTGTTCAGGAAAGGTTTAGAAAACCAGATAATATGGGAAATCGAGGCTTCTGGAACAATGCTAGATTCACTTCTAGCTCTCCGAACATGATACACAAATTTTCTGGCACTGGATGGGGTTCTGGTAGAGGGAAAGCAATTGCAAGTCCTGATTTTGGAGACCGATTTCATGCTCCAGGAAGAATACCTTGTGAAAGAGTAATGTCATCTAGCTCATATTCAGCGAACGGTGCGGTAGCATACAAAAAAGCCTCTCTTAATGAGACACCTGTTTGTAATGAAAAGTGGAGAGTTGCTGGTTCTGGTTCAGGAGATCAAATACGAACCCTTAGGGATTTGAAAATATCGAAGTCGTCATCAAGCCAGGGCTGGAGGCCTAATGGAAGAGTTCAGTCAGCAAACAATGTTTTCTGGCCATCTAGAAATGGCTTCACACCTGACACAAACCATGCTTGGCAACATGGTCAGTGCCGCGGTAGAGGCCATCAGGACTCCTCGAAGCATTATTCACCTTTTGTTGCTAACCGTTCATCCCAAGCCAGTGGGAGTGCGCACTTTGTTCCACGTAGTTGGGATACTGAAGGTAAGCCCCGCTGGTAGCTAGTTAACACAGCTCTCTTTGCTTGGCTGCCAAAAGAGCGAGAAAAGCACTGTTTTGTACACATTTCATCTATTTTGTATTTTACGGCCGAAGGCTGAAGAATTTTCGATCTGCTAGCTTTTTCCTATGCTTCACAATTTCTGCAATTCCATATTTTTGGTAATTAAGCAGGGCATTCTACTCAAGAATCAAATAATGTTGGGCTAAATGTATAAGATAAAAAGCTGCAGGCCGTTCTTGTATTAACAATTTTTGGCAAGAAGATAAAAGTCCTTTCTTCTTCAGTGCCGCTTCATCAGCATCTGCAATTCATTTATAGGTTGCTTGTTTTACCTAAGTTTCATTTCTTTTGAAGGTTCATAAAGATTCCCAATCCTAATATACCACAATCTAGACTCTAATCTAATGGCTCCGAATGACATGAGAATGACATGATCACCACTCAATTTGTTTTTCCATTTCATTTTAGAATGTTGTCTCAGTGTTTAGGGTTTAGGGTTTAGTCGCAACCCATGCCCAAATGTATTGGTGCTTTCCAAAGATCCTGCCCCTGAATTATGTCGGAGTATATTTGGGCGTTCATTTTATATCCTTGGAGTTATGATTTGTATGATCTTTCCTTATAGCTATAAGAGTTTTCTTGCCCATCTGGCTATACAAAATCTGATAACACAGTGTTGGAAAAACGCTCTGGAAAAGGGGCCTACGATAGCACGTGAAAAACGCTATGGTAGAGTTCTGGTTTTTATAACGTCGGTTGACACAATTTCGTATAGGGCTATTATATCTTTCTATAGCGTTTTTGTAGTTCTATCTATGTCGATTTGTGGTGCTCCGCGGAGTTGTATTCAGTATATATGCAATGTAAATTTTAGTGATATATGTACGAAAAATGCAAACATTCGATGACTATTATATTTGTTTTAAGACCCTAAATATTACATAAAAATATTAATATATATCTTAAAATTTAACCCCTTTTTTTCTTTCTAATAATAAAATTTTAAATATCTTTTTTAAACTCAAACAATAGTCGAACCATTAGCTTCTTTTTGAAAAATTATAAATAAAAAACTCAATAACAGCTTCAAATGCTAAAAAGTACTATCATATAGTAAGCCGGCCCTTATTTATATTATTTTATAAGTTCTATTCCAACGTTACCCTTATAGCACGGTCATCATCATCTTACCATGAAAACAATACACCCTAGGGACTACAGAAGTATAAGATAAAATTTATGAAAGCCACACATACTACTTGCTTTCTTTTGCTTTCAATATCCCCTGGCCCTTCAGCAGAAAATTTGTATTTGTAATATCTTTCCTTGTAGCCTGCAGCAGCATATCGTACCTGTGGAAGAAATCAGCAAAGCATGTAAAAATATTTGTTTATATGCTTGGATGTAAACGTTTCAGAAGGGAATGCTTCATACTTTGTCCGTCCCTAAATCACCATTCTTAAACAGATCAGATTTCCTTCTGATGCTATCTTTCAGTTTCTGCTTAAACTCCTTTGTATTTCCTATTATCTGCAAAAATGCAATATAAATGATACCAAAAACACTTCAGCAGGTCACAAAGTAGATAGTAAAACTGCTTTATTCCATGTATATGTATGTAATCAAGCAAAATAACCCGCAGGTACAAAAGAAAACACACCCAAAAAAAAAAAACAGCGTACTTGAGAACGCAGATTTTCAAACGTCCCAAGTGACAGAGCTTCGGATTCTTCTCCATTAGGCAATGCACAAGTACTGCTTGAATCAGTAGTTGAACTTCCAGCATCAATTTCATCCTCTAGCTGGCAACCAATTAATTCAGCATTTGTTTCATAATGGGAAAAATAGACAAATACAAGCAATATTGTCAATGATGAATGATACTTGAGCAACAAGCACTTACAAAATCTTTATTAAGGAAAAGACGTCTGAGTTTACGCTCACGTAGTTCTGATCTTTTCTTGAAAATTTTATCTTCATAAGCACCAACAAGAAGAATAAATTTCTCAACCCTGGATAGTTTGATGTATCCTGATTTCTTGTCATTGACCTGCTTTTGAGCACAAAAGAAGCGGCATGGTCATGATCTTATCTACATTTTTTTTTCAGGGTGAAGAAATGTAACTGAAACAAAGCTAATCACGTTATACCCGGAGCATATCAACCATATAACCACCGAGATTTTTGAATTCCTTCTTATAGACAGTCATCAGCAAGTCAATTGCACACTGGAAATAAGTAGTTATCATAAAAAATTAGTTTCGAGCTTCATATTGTATTCCCATCACTACATACCAATGAAGTTTAGTAGAACCTCATGAATTTCCAAAGTTGGCATGTGGGGCAGAAAATCATTTCCAGCAAAAAAGCACATAAATATAAAATCATCAATTATACGCTCAAGAGCAAACTTGAAATTCTCTCGAGGATCATTGATTTGCATATCAAGCTCCAAATATTCCCTCAAAATCCAAACATTCAGAAGCTGAAATTTGGATGGAAAAATAGAGGTGAGACAACAGAGCAATATTCAAACCACAGGTGATAGATAAGAGGACTGTTTCAAATACCTGGTAGGGCTTTTTTACAAGAGGACTATACGGAACTATACCTATGCCAAGCTCCCTGTACGTGATAACATTACACCATCTAATGATTGACACATATTAGAGTTATAATAGGTAGAGTTTGAGTTTGACAACATTTGCACAATCATTTCCCTCTTAACTACATATGGAATTATGATACCAATTCAGAGGACCAATTTTGCATAGCTCAAATAGGATTTTGAACATGCCTGCAAAGTGGAATAATCTCTTCCTCAATATCACGAGTCCAGAGGGACCACTCCATTTGTACAGCAGTGATGGGATGAACTGCGTGTGCCCTCCTTATTGTGTCCGGGCTAGCTTCTGATAAACCGATGTACTTTACTTTCCCTTCTTCCACCAGTTTCTTCAGCTCACCAATCTAAACTCCGGAAAGAAAACAAAAAGGTATCTAATCAAACTAACATGCAGAGTTTAGTACTAAATTACTAACATTATACAATTATGGTGGTTGCAGCTGAATAAGGAAGAGAATCACACACAGTTTCCTCTATAGGCACTGAAGTGTCCACCCGATGTTGGTAATACAGATCAATGTAGTCCACACCAAGACGCTTTAAGCTAGCTTCGCAGGCTGAACGGACATATTCAGGAGTGCCCTTGATTGCAATAGCAGGAGGGTCAACGGTTCCAGTAATACCAAACTTTGTGGCTAATTGAATTTTTTCTCTTGGCAACTGCTTCAAGGCCTAGAAAATTATAACTTTGCAATTAGGCTTGCAGAACATCAAGTCCCCTAATCAACCAATCACTCAATTTTGAGTAACTTCTAATGTACAGTGGATAATTGAATATTTACAACTTAATAAAGTGGAAAAATAGCTGTTAAAATTTCAGGAAACAAATACAACTAATCCCTTACTTCCACTGAATTCTATTTTTGAGCTTCTTTTCTATGAGACCAATTCCTTCAAGAACATTTGTTATATCATATATCCGCCTCTTTTGCACCTACATAAAAAAAAAACACTTATAATTTACAGATCCTTGACATAGAATACATTACAACAAATAGGAAAGTAGTCACCTCTAAAGTATCAGCAGCATTATTGAGATCCAGAATACCATCTTCCGCACGTTTGATCAGATTGATAAACTTTTTTGTTATGAGAGACCTGAATGGCAATAATAGGACATTGCCATAATATTTGCACAACAAATGAAAAAATTAACTTGCTTTTCTCATGAAGAACCTAAATAACTAAACGATAAAATCAGTTAACAAAAAACATAGGAAATTGTTCTGTTACCTAGGGAGCTGTCAAAACGACAAGGTCCGGCCGGAGTAAGATTAGCCCCAGAAGGAGAACCTGTCAATTATACAGATTAGATGGGAGTAATCAAGCAAACACATCCCATAAATTCTCATAGCATCAGCTAATTCATTCTTTTTGGAACACAACTAATCCATTCTTCAAATCTCAATTAAATCTTACCTCGCATATATAATAGAACTACAAGTATGGGAGCACACTTGACAGATTTAAGTAACACTCACCCACATTGAAAGCCGGAGTCTGTGGTCCAGATCTGCTGCACTTTGTCAGCCTTGATGTTTTGTTTGCCTTTCCCACCTTGCTTGACACGGGAGTCTGGAGGGGGCTGGTAACTACTTCAGCCAGGAGCAGCTGTCCTATCACTAGACTCAGCTTCGTAATCTGCCGCATCACTCTTCCGTTTTAGCTGCTAATCCACCATTCAGTTTATTCAAAAAATTAGCATCAAATGAACAAACCATATCATATAAGTAATTATAAAATGAAAATAATTGATCAATTGAAAATACATAATGACTATGAAGAGAATGATTATTATAATTAAGCATACAGGTACATTAGCTGGAAAGATGTTAGCACATCATACAAACCAATCTACGTTTCAAGCGGACTATGCAGCCTCTACAAAGAAAACTGGAAGCTTCCCAACTTATAAATGGAAGGATTCATAAATCCATAATTCTACAAATACACGCTAATCTCTAGTGCATTCTAACATCTGCAAACCACATCAGAGAAATAAACATCATTGCTATTAAGGGAAAACAAAATGTTCTTCCTTTTCTTATTTCCTAAACCACCTTTCGCTTCTTCCACATGTAGGCAGCTTCCAATATCTTGAGGTTTTGGGTATGTGCTTCTTCTAGGAAGCTGTAATCAATGTATTCCTCATATCCAGCGGGGCCATCTTCGGTTACTATTGGCCTCCGCTTCTTAAGTTTCTTTGGAAGCTTAGACTGGACTAAGCTAACATCACCGAGATCTCCAAAGCTAGCCTCCACATTCAACATTTCTTCAAGCAAGAGACACCGTTCTTCCTTCAACTCAGGTGCTGAAGTTCTAAAATAGTTAAAAGCTTTCTCAAATATTCTTCGAACACGCTGAACACATTGCTTCGTTTGTTCACAAAGATAATCCTGATCCTGGTCTTCTGAACACATTGCTTCCGCTATAGCAGATGCCTCAAATTTCGCATAACTGATCCACACCTTTAGGTGTTTTGTTCGGTCTAGGAGTCTCTCGTAAAGTTCTCTAGCTCTCTCAAATTCACCCTCTGATAGTTCAAAGTCAATGTATGCCTTCCACAACAATTCAGGCATGTCAAGTGCTGGTTGGGTGATGGCAAGTTCAAAAACCGCCCTAGTCCGTTCTGTCTCACACAAAGATTTCTCTAACTCTGCATACTTGGTCCACGCATAGCAATTTTCTGGGGACCAATGCAGATACTTTTCATACAATTTCCGACATCGATTGAAATTCCCAAGGTTCAGCTCAATCTCAATATACTTCTTAAATATCTTATCTTTAGGTGACTTGCCTATTGCAGTACCAAGGATCTTGCGTGCACCCTCGAGATTCAGCAGTCGTATCTCAAGCAAGGCAGCGAGAAGCCATATTTTTGCAAATGAAAACTTCTTGTGAGGAATCAGTTGAAGGCATTCCCTATATACATCTCGTGCACGTTCCATGTCTCCAGCATCAAGCTCCTCATATAGTGCATAATTGATCCACAAGCAAATGTAGCGCTGCCAATACCGCTTCTCCGGCACAGGAGGAACATTAGCAATAGCTCTCTCATAAACCTCTCTAATTCTGTCCTTATTTCCTGCACTCTCTTCTAGCCTTATATAATCAAACCAGGAATCGTAATTAAGAGGATTCTTCCTAACCTCGTCTTCATATTGAAATCTCCTGTTTCCCACAATCGCATCCTCAATGCCTTGTCTATCTCCATATTGCTTCTCCAAACACACAAACTTTTTATACAAATCCTCAACCCTTTGTTTGGGTATATGATCAAGTGCAAATTTATAAATACGCCTTGCTCTATCAGTTTCAATAACAGTAAAAAGAAAAACCAAGATTAATGAGACAAAAACTCACAGAGGTCTTAACGTATATGCCATAAGCTTCTGAATCAGTGAGTTGGCGAGGGTCGGGAACGAAGCCGTGGTAGTCTGCTGTAGCTGAAAACGGCGGTTTCATGGAGGAGAAGGCGAGCTGCCGCTTGAGGGCCTGCTGCATGATCGGCTGGGGCGGTTGAGCCGGCGGGTCATGAGCTCGAGAGCCCGACATCCAGCGACCCGAACCGGATTGTGGGTTGGGCGGGTTTTTTTTGGTGGGTTTGGTGGAGGGAAGGAGAAAGGAAGAGATCGAGAGAAATTGGAGGGAATTGAAAAAAAGAAGTGGGGGAAGAAAATGGAGGGAAAGTTTGGAGGCGAAGGTGGGGGGAGTGGAGTGGGTGAGAAGGTGAGATCTGGTGTTTGGGAAAAATAAAATAAAAAAGCGGGAGAGAGAGAGAGAGAGAGAGAGAGAGAGAGAGAGAGCAGAAAACGAGGGAAAGGAAAGGAGGGAATTTGGTTCGGATATAGATATGGAGGGAAGCACTTACCCTCGTTTTTCTTTTTTCTTTTTATTATTTGCTTATCAAAGAATAGTTTATTTATTATCGGTGTTTTACAGATTATATATATATATATATAGTAATAGACGGAAGACTTAGAGTTGGGTTTGGCTAATGTATATTTAATGACTTGAAGACTTTGCATGTGTATTTAATGAAGTGAAGACTTGGAAGAAGAAAGGAACTAGTTAGTTACGGAAGATGATAGAGAGGATGACTAAATAATTGACTTGGTAGATGACTTGAGCAACTAACAAATAAAAAATAGAGAAATAATGAATAAAATAAATTATTGAATGGATGCAAATTGAAA